TTCTCAGGGGGCGTAATGAAACTTTAATTTATTTTTTAACTTCGAAATCTAAGTATACGGCCTCGTTCACTTCACGGATTTGAGTTTTCAATTCGAGTTGAGATGTGACATTTTTTTAAAACTTTTCACTGTAGCAAAAAAAAAAAAATTAGATGTGATATTTTTTGAGAGCTTTTTACTGTAAAAACCTAAAACTGAAAACTTGAATCGGTGAAATGAACGAGGTATAAGGTCAAAATATAGGGTATAATTTATTTTTTTAATTTCACCTTAACATTGCAATTTAAAAAAATCTTTGTTTGTTTAGAAAAAGAAAAAATTGGTTCTTGTTCAAATTTTAAAAATTAGTGTTTAGTTTAAATAGTTTTAGTTCAAGATTTAAACATTGACGTGATGTTTTAAACTAAAATCACCTTTAATTTTAAAACTTTCTCTCATTTAATTTTAGGCAGTTTAAACACCTGAGTCTGATTCTAATTTTAAAATTATGATTGAATCTAAAATTATGAATCATAATTATATTTTTAAAATTAAAATCAAAATTATCATAATTTAAACCCTTCGTATCAAAGTCTGTGTGTGTATATATATGTACGTAAATATAATATTTTTAGACTTTAACTGTTCACACATACGTCAACATAACAATTATGATAATATAACCAATGCGGTCAAAATGAACAATTATTAGCAAGGCCTTTGATCAGTACCACTGAAAATCTATCACATGATTATTCACTTTTGGAACTCCACATGCAGTTTTTCTTTTTTCATAAAAAAACTTGCAGAAATGATTAGTAGTCGCTAGCGGTACTATACCACTTGAAGTTTTTTGAGCTCGTTCACTTTGCGGATTTAAATTTTTAATTTGAGTTGAGATGTGATAATTTTTAAAATTTTTTTACTATAATATAAAAAGTTAGATGTGATATTTTCTGATAACTTTTTACTGTAAAAATCTAAAACTAAAAATTCAAATCGGTAAAATGAACGAGATCTTAATCTATTTATACTCCTTCCTAGTAAAGAGTAAAGAAGCTGAAAAACAAAAATGGCAAGTACTTGAGATCATCAAGAATACAATCACGCTGCAGCTGGTTATAACTACTGAGAGAGTAATTATAAAAAAAAAATAATAATAAAAAAAATACCGAGAGAGCCATGATCACGTATGTATAACGAGATTATACGATTCCTTTGAAATGATGTAATAAGAATATGTGTACGTACAAAAGCAAAAAAAGACAATGATTATTGCAATAAAGATTCATATATTCATCATTTTTTGTCTTTTTATTTTTGGAATGATATATAGAGATTTTTTTAATAGAATAAGAAAAATTATACTATCCATATTTTTATATATTCCAATCGTTATGTATAACAAATTATATATTTTATATATTTTTTTAATTTAACATAATTTTAATTAAATTTAACAGTTAAAAATTAATTTTACTCGTAAAACGACCAATAGTCTCAGCTAATAGTTACGTCATGAGGTAAAAAGGGACGAGTGCTACTTGTTGGAGGAACATGGACAAACATTCACTTTAATTTATTCACCCTGCACACTATAATTTGGGCCCCATTGGAGTGTGTTGTTCACGCTTTCTCCCTCGTAACATGTTTTTCTCAATGTTCTCCGGTTCTAACATCCTCCAACATTGTCTCGCATATGGCACTACCAACGTAAAAAAACAAAAACAAAAAAAAAAAACAATCATTGAGTAATTAGTGAAATAATAAAAAGAGTCGACATCACAATCAACAAGTAGTATATATCACATGCAAGTCTAATATCACGTATGTGAGGAAACAATGTGTTCTCTCTAGTGATATTGGCTAGATCTCCAAGTTTTCAAGATCGGACATGATCTCTATGATGAGAATTCCAAGCATGATACGATATTTTTTATAAAAAAAAAACACCATATTAGTAGGACTCTGTTTTGAAAAGTTTTTAAAATATTGGGCGGGTTTGGAATTCATTTTAAAATAATTTTATTTTTTGTATGAAAATAAAAATGAAAACGTTTTTAATCTCAGACATAAATCATTTTTGAAAATGTATTTGATAGTTTTATCTAGAGATTATTTTCAGTATAAAAAAACCTATTAATATCTCTCTCTCTTTCTCTCTGGTCGAGAGAGAAGAAAACGAAAATAAAAAATGAAAAACAACTAAAATTTGTTTTTCATTTCTCTCTCATTTTACACTCAACTAAAAAATCATTTTCATTTTCATTTTTTTATTTTTATTGCGCCAAAAGCTGTTTTATAAACGTTTTCATTTTTTTCTCAAAAAATGTGAAAAATAAAAACAGAATCAATTCCAAACACGGTCTTTGTTAGTTTTACATATTTTAAATTTTAATGTGATTTTGATCATATTTCAGGTTGCACTATTGATACTATAGAAACCCCTAATCACAAATATATAATTTGTAAATTAAAGGGCAATTAGCAATGTGAACATTACTAGTTATACGTGAAACTGATTGTATTTCAAGCGCCACTCTAACATGCCATGCACATAGTTATCAACTTACCATACTTGAGTTAAACATGGCCTCGTTCACTTCGCGGATTTGAGTTTTCAATTCGAGTTGAGATGTGACATGTTTTGAGAGCTTTTCACTGTAGCAGAAAAAGTTAGATGTGACATTTTATGAGAGCTTTTTACTGTAGAAACTTATAACTAAAAACTCGAATCGATAAAATAAACGATGTCAATATTATATGTATAGTACTAATTCAGGCACCATTTTATATTTACAATGACACACAAGATAAATCAATACTTTCGTCACAAAGAGGAAAAGAAAAAGGTTTTTAAGGACGTAAAACAAGCAAATCAAAATGATAAACAGAAGCTAATAAATAAGGTAAAGTTTCAAGTATATAAACTACTATTATCTTATGTTATGATATTTAATTTAAGACTCTCTTTGATAGGGTTTCTTTATCGGTAAGGTCAGTTACCGTTAGATATAATTAAAATCACATTAAGTTAAAAAAATATGCAGAATAAATAATTTTAATTGCTGAAAATAAAAAACTATCACTAGTCTAATTTTTATGATCCAATTAGAGAAATCCTCACAAAACTTTAGGCCCCGTACGTTTCACCGATTCGAGTTTTGTTACAGTAAAAAGCTCTTAGAAACAATCATATCTAGTTTTTTTTATTACAATAAAAAATTCTCACATAAAATTACATCTTAACTTAAATTAAAAACTTAAATCAGTGCACTAAACATGTCCCCAACTCTAGATAATTCTTAACAAAAGGCCTGAATTCAAAGAGAGAAAATCATAGAGCACGTGACCATCCCACCATGAACGTGACCATCCCACCATGAATTGGTAAAATTTTTCAGTTGAGAAATAAGGATGAGAAGAATCTATCCTTTGCTTGTAGGAGGAGATCAAGTAGTGGGACCCACACACACCTCTAAGGCCCTTAGTGGGTCCTCAAGTTGGAGTGCTCTTTCGGTATGCTTCTTTATCGAGGACCCAAATATTCTCACTTCTCAAGCTCCTGTCATGTCACTCACACCCACACAGAGACCACCACATCAATCTCTCTCTCTCTCTCTCTCTCTCACTATATTTTTATTTGGTGTTGACGACCACGCCGCGAAAATCTGACGTCCACGGTCCCACCATGGGCTGTCCAAATCTGACGGCCCACGTTGTCCCATTACCCCAAGTGCCGTGACATCACGGCCGTCCGCTGTTTACATGGTCATGCTGAGGTTGTTACGGCCCTTGGGCCCAGTGTCGGCGACAGTGTCCGGACATTGTTGGGGCCCACCTATGTTGTTGCCCACCACCGACGGTGTTTTGTGTTTACTAGAACACCGTATAATGTCAGAGTCTAAAAATGGACTATATTTCCTGTTTTTTTTTTTTTTTTTTACCAAACTGTTAAAATATTGAAAAATACTTAAATTATTCTTTCTTCACTTTTTATACTCTTTTAATTCTTTTATTATTGAGTATATAACACGTACATTTTATTAATGTGATAAATTTTATTTAAATAAAAAATAAAATAATAAAGTTCACATAGTAAATATTAAATATAGAGAGTAATAAAAGAAATGACTAAAAAAATAATGTTAATATTTTTCATAAAGGATTACCTCTTGATAGAGTTAGATTTTAAACATATTAACATGTACGGTTCATATGTTTGTACATAAAGACCTCGTTCATTTCACCGATTTGAGTTTTCAGTTTTAGATCTCTACAGTTAAAAGCTTTCAGAAAATATCACATTTAATTTTTTCTGCTACAGTGAAAAGCTTTTAGAAAATGTCACATCTCAGCTCGAATTGAAAACTCGAATCCGCGAAGTGAACGAGGCATTTGTACAGAGATTTAAATTATTATAAAATAAAAACATTATATCAAAAAGTTTAAATTTAAACCTAATCTCTACTTCAAAGTGTCACGTACTTATTAATAACTATATCTTAAAGTGGTATAGGGATCAATTAATACTACCAAAATTACGTTTTACCAATTTTGTTACTCTACCTAAATTTAATAGATTCAAACATAAAAGCATGATAACTTAATTATAAAAATATTTTAAATAATGTGAAATAAAAGAATTAATTATAGATCATTTAAAATACTAAAATTAGATAAAACTATGTTCTTTAAAAGTAACTATATATATATATATATATATATTGTTATAAGAAAATATGGACACCATAATATAATTAATAGAAAATGAGTCTCTCAAATGAGTCGAGAATTGTAAAGATCATTTTTTGTTAGTAAATGGTACAGCTATTGTTACTGCTCGTACTGCCATCATTCTCGACACTCCCTTCTTATATAGTTCCCACCAAACCCAATCCACACACCAACAAGTCCTTCAGCTTCTCACTACTACTCTCTCTCTCTCTCCTCCTCAATCTCTCTCTAAAAACTAACACACCCTGCTCTTTTTTCACTCCGTTGATCATATACTACTTATCCAGAGAAAAGTGAGAGATCATGATATATATACATATAATATGAAGCATTAGATTCGGGAAGACAAAGAAAAGGCTTGGCTAGGTTTTTATAATTTGCTTCTTTCAGTATATAGTACTTAAAGAAGTGCTGCTGGTAAAATAGTGGGTCTTTGTTTTATGGGTCTTACTTCTCTGCAAGTCTGCATGGATTCATCAGATTGGCTCCAGGTACGCTCTGCTTAGTATTCTTCTAATTACATACTTGGGAAAACTAGCAACTAGTAGTTTCCAACATCTTAAGGCTATGATCTCCATATATTTTTCTGTGATTGTACACACACACACACACACACACACACACACACATATATATATATATATGTATACAAAACAGTATAAGCTATATCAGATACATAGATGAATTATGGGACCTAATTTTTTTGGAAATCCAAATGGAATTAGTAGAAAGCCCATCTTGCGGGATCGCCATTAACGATTCTCCAAGGATTAGCTCTTCCTTATATATATATATATTATAAGCTATGTATATACACATACACTCACACTCTTCTTGCTCATGATTTGCTTGAATATGAAAACCCATTTTAGGTTTCCAACCAACGAGTTAAGATATAGCTATTGCAGCCACATTTTTCTTGGATCATATAAAACAAACAATAATTAGTTGTGTTGTCTTCCTTTGACCGTCAGAGAATTCACTGCAGTGTAATTCGATACTATTGTAGCAGTGACAATGCGGTTAAAGAATTAAACGCGTGAAAATGAAAATAGTAACACAAATGTGAGAGAAAAATGACTCCAGTTTGTCTTATGCTTTCCAAAAAAAACTTCTGAGAAAGAAAAAAAAAAAAAAAAACTTCTGAGTCTGGTCTTTAAAGTAGTACTCTCTCTGGAGTAAGATAACCCTGAACTGACATTTTGATAGACAGTAAACACATGACAAGGAATCTAGCCCACCTGAATCCTATATTCATATAGCTCTAGCATTATTTTGATTTGTTTTAGGGTTCGTCTGATTATGTTTTTCTTATAAAAAATTTTAAAAATTAGAATGATGAATCATAATTTCATCAATGTCTCCTATATACATAATCATCATTCACCAATATTCTCCCTAATTGATTTGATTTTTTTTTGGGTCTTGTTATAGGGCACTATTCACGAGGACTCCTCAGGAATGGATTCTTCATCCCCAATATCAAACGACATGCTCACATGCTCTAGACCCTTGAACATGGAGCGAAGGCTAAGGCCCCAACAAGACCAAGCTCTCAAATGCCCAAGATGCGACTCAACCCACACCAAATTTTGTTACTACAACAACTACAGCCTCTCTCAGCCTCGCTACTTTTGCAAGACCTGCCGTAGGTACTGGACCAAAGGAGGAACTCTCCGCAACATCCCGGTCGGAGGAGGTTGTCGTAAGAACAAGAAAGTGTCGTCCAAAAAGCCAAACGACAACAACTCCCCTAGTGTCGTTGGCGGCCAGAGCCACATTGGTCATAGTGGTATTATCCCCGGCTCTTCTAATTCCTCTACCTCCCACAATACGACAGAACTCCAGTTGTCGTTTCCTGACCAGGTCCAATTCTCCCACCTCACTAACCTTCTAGGTCCGCACCACCCCGCTTTCTTTGATCAGAATGTCCCTAGGCCGGCCATTGATTTCATGGAGAGCAAATTGGAGGCCATTGTTGGTAACTCAAGAAATAATTATGACTTTATGGGAAGTAATAATAATCATAATAATGGTACTAGTGGTCATGATTTGGGCATGGTCGGTGTGGGACTAGGAAATTTTGGTGGTGGTGGTACTAGTACTAGTAGTACTCATCATCATGGATCATTTGAACCCAATTTTCATGGTATTTGTCCTCCATTTGGGATGTCCCTAGATGGGAATAATGGAAATGGGACTTTTATGGACACGTGTCAAAGGTTGATGTTACCATATGAAGCAAATGATCAGGATGGCCAAAATGGGATTTTGGATGTGAAGCCTAATGCAAAGCTCTTGTCCCTTGATTGGCAAGACCAAGGTTGTTCTGGTGATCATCATGCCGGGAAGGACTCTTTTGGGTACATCAACGGTCTAGGGTCGTGGTCCAATGTGATCAACAATTATGGACCGTCCACAACAAACCCGCTAGTTTAATTAATTAAGCTCTAATTGATCTTTTGTATTTTGTTTGTTTCGATATTGTTGGTGTGATTAGTGACTTGATCATATGTTTATCTGCTTTACTAGACTAGCTAATAGGTTATCCAACTACAAATATATATATATATATATATATATAATATAAACTAGTGAATGTCTTTGACAGAAAGGTTTTTTTTTTTTTTCTTCCTTTCTTAATTTACTTTTTTTTTTTTTGGGTTAGGGTCTTTCCATGTTGTGAAGGCAGTCTCCGTTTTTTTATTGTCTTTAACATATTTAAAGAGTGTGAATGAAGCTTTCACGAGAGTCAAAAAATGACTGCTTTCGCCTTTCATGCAAAATGTTGCTCTTGTGTATTTCTTTCTTTCCCTCTTTCTTTTTATATTCTTTATTTTAATCTGTCTTTTGATCATTTGGTGTCTTGTGTACAAGACATTCAAAGATGTAGGATTATGTTGTAATACCGAGAAAGATATGGAAGCAATCTTTTTTAGTCTTAAGGAAAATTTGTTATTTATTTATAGTACTTGCATGTAGCCTCAATATGATCTTTGTTTTTATTGATAAAAGGGGTTTTAACGTGGCTTTTATGTCGGACGGAGAACCTGAATGAGTTTTTTATTTTTTTTATTTTTTAATTAAGGACGTAAAAGGAGAGCAAAGCAGAGTTTTCATTGAAAAGCAAAAGTTCTCTTTGAGTTTTGTGTCGTTTCCCAAGTGGCTGCATTTCATTGCACTTTCTTGTGGACTCCCCCTTATGATTGTTAATGTGATTGGAAGAAGCAGAAGAGCTAAAAAGAAAAGAAAAGGATGCTAAAATCGGGTTGGGAAACAAACAAGTAGACCCCACAATCATTTATTATTTATTTTTATAGCTTAAGACCTATTTTTCAATCTTAATCGCAAGTGCCACATGTTTCATAATTCTAAATTTAATCAAATAAATAGCATAAAAGGGGATAAAACTTACTAAAATAGGTTCCCGACTCTAGGAATAAATGTAAAAATGTACATAAGTGACCAAAGTAAAATTGATGGTAAAGTTTGGATTTAGGTCAACTGTAAATTACAGATAAAATAAAAAATAAGGCTAAGTTTAAAAGGTAGTATTGATATTTTTTAACCGCTAATTCAAATATTCAATGCAAGTAGTTGAACCAGTATTTATCTTCTAGTTTCTTTCTCTCTCTCTCTTTTTTTTTTTTGACGATGAATATGATTAATAATGTTTCAATTGTATATATATAGAGCACCAAAAAGCAAATCAAACCAGGTATGAAGAAATAAATTAGGCAAAAAAAGGTCTGAAATGTATGTTCTTATTAGAAAGTCGTTTTTGGTCCCGCTGTCGTATGTTTGGATTATTATCTGTTTTTGTATTCATCTCGTTGTCATCAGGTTGTTTTCGTTTCTTCAGTTTATTTTTCTAAATAACTGTCGTCTCTCTCTGTTTTTTTCTTAGTAGGATAACTGTCGTCTCTCTTGATTTGGCTTTTCTCTCAAATGTCTTTCTTCCACATTATTGACGTTTTTGCAATTCTGGTTTTTTTTTTTTTTTTTAAGATATGCCCTTTTTATTACGGTTATTATTTATATTGTGGCTTTTAATCTTTTATTGTGTTTGTTATCTATTCTGTGTTTATTGTCGTTTAATGCTGATGTTGTTTTCTTAGATCACTTTACTCATACTTACGGTAGTTAAAAGTTATTGTATTTGTCGTGTTAATAAACTAGTCGTTTATTGAAGGTATTGTCGTTTATATCGTCCCTTTAGTACTGATCATTATTTGGTTGTTGTCGTTTTCTATAGTACGCATTTTATCTACGATCGTCTTGTCCTTTTCACATTAGTTTAAATAATATAGTTTTATCACCTCTTGTTGTTGTCGCTTTCGTAAAGTTGTCGTTTTTACGTGATTAACGTTTTTCCTGTTCATGTTGTTTTTATTTTGCAGTCTCCCCAGTTCCGGTCTGCATATTTTTCTTTTATTTTTTTATTTTTTACTTTTGTGATATTGTCGTTTTCAGCTATTGTTCTTTTTTTTTTCTCAGCTGATGTCGTGTTTTCCAATACATGCTTTATTTGAGGTAATTATCGTCATTTTTTTTATAGAAAAAATGGAAAATTTATCTGAATGAGTCTGAATTTTTACCCCTTACTCTTGATAAATATCCGTTTTTTAGTATAATTATTTAATTAAAAAAGTTATGAATCAAGAGTGTATAAAAATTATGATCCACACACTTTTAAAGGGTATTTATCAAAATTATCCATTTTTTATGCGTTCTCTAGGCGGTTCCGTTTTATAATTTATAGGCCCGTTTAGTTCACGGGTTTAAAATCATGATTTGATTTTGTTACAGTGTTTACACTCACAAAAAATTTAAATTGAAAAAATTCCCATCAATGAGTTCTCTCACAAAATTTAAATTCTGAATCAAAATACAAACCTATGAATCAAATGGACTCTTATTTTTGTTGTCTTCTTGTCCTTTTTACGAGTATTGTCGTTTTTGTGATGGTGCAATATTTCATGTTGTTGTCGTTTTTTTGTGCTAATTGTCTTTTTTTTTTCTTTCTAATTTTGCTTTGTTTTATTATTTCCTTCTGATAAAGTAGTCATGTCTTGCGTAATTACATTTTTGTCCCGATTAAAGATTCATTTTCATAATGTTGTTGTCTGTTTCTATTTGCTTTCTAGGTTTTTGCTCTTCATTTTTATCGGTGCGTTTGGAATTAATTCCAAAACGTTTTTATTTTCTGTATGAAAATGAAAATGAAAACGTTTTTAGTTTCATTTTTGAATTATTTTTAAAAATGCGTTTGGTAGTTTTATTTAGAGATTGATTTCAGTTTAAAAAAAAACTGAAACTGCGTTTGGTGGTTTAATTTTTAAAAACATGTAATAATATATTAAATAAATAATAATATTAAATATATTAAATAAACATTATATACATGAAAAAATGGGTTTCGGAGGAATAATTTTGAAAATCGGATGAGGAGGGGGTTGGTTAAGGGCAGCGAGGTCGAGGGAGATTGGAGAAGATGGGGGGTTGAGAGAGATCGGAGAAGAGTGGGAAACTGAAAACGATACTTAATCGTTTTCAGTTTTGTTAAGTTTTTAAGAACAAGTAAAAAAACGTTTTCAGTTTTTATTTTAGAAGAAATGCGTGCCAAACACATTTTTGAGTGCATTTTCATTTTTTAATTCTTATTAAATAAATATATTAAATAAACATATATAATACAAAAACGGTTTCAGAAAAGAGGGAAGAAAATGAAAAAAAAAAAAGTGAAATCCGTTTTCAGAAAACAGAAAACGAAAACGAGAAAATGAAAACACATTTTTTTTTTGTTTTCTGATTTCCACAAAAAGACAAAAACGTTTTTGGTTTTGTTTTTTAAAAAAATTTACATCAAACACGTTTTTAACACCCGTTTTCATTTTTTTACTTTGAAAACCGTGAAAAACGAAAATGAAAACACAAATAAACATGCCTATGTTTCTGTTGTCATTTTATTTTATTGTTCGTTTGTTTTGATCGTCATTTTTTCTAATGTTGTCGTTTCTTGATCAGTTGTCCATCCAGATTTGTCGTTTTGATCCTTTTTGAGGCTTCAATTATTCTCTCCTTACAGCGCACGGCACCCGGCCACCATGAGTCTCACATAACCGCTC